TAAGCTTTTGTCTATCATTTATTCTTAATTTTGCATTTTCAGCTCTACATATCTTTCTTAGTTCATAAGTTGTAATCTTTTTGTGTAGAAGTAAAGGGTTTGATGGGTCTTGCGGTCTTCCTTTGACTTTCCATTCACAATAGACTGTTTTCTTTGCCTTAATTGATTTATAAATATCATGAGTCATACATTTTAATTAAGGTTTGTGTTTTTTTAACTTTCTGAGGTGGAGCAACAACTGCTAATGCATCAATTACTGCAGTGGTGAGTTTCAAAACGGCATCATCTATCTGTTCAGTATTATCTATTTGAATGTCGCAGTCAGTCAGCCGATCATATATAGCTTGTATATATAGGCCTTTATCAATTTTGCCCCAGTTCACTTTATGACTGGTATGTTAATTCATTGCTTGACGATATTTTTTCTGTATTTTTCATTGAAAAGGAAAATTTCATATTTGCTCCAACAGGATAGTGATCAGAAACGTTACTTTTTATTTCTAGCCTTCTCATATGTAGAATATTCTCATCAAATTCTTCTGGAAACAAGATGTAATCAATGGCTGTACTGTCTTTCCCACTAGTATGTATAAATGTTTTTCCAACATCTTTGGTCTTTAAATTACATTCCTTCATAAAATCTAAAATATATTTGTTTCTTGCATTATTCGAGTTAACAAGCAAATTTCATTGTAGTCACCTCCAATAATTACAGTAGGTGTTGCTCCAAATGATTGTACTATTTCATACAAGATATCTATACATTCTTGAAGTTCTCATATGCTATTAGCAGAGCTTTTTCATGGTACATAAATGGAAACGAGTAATAATTGTTCAGAAATTCCTTTCAATTTAACACATTCTTTCATTACCAATATGTATAGGTGTAATAAGAGGATTTATTTCTTTCCGCCACAGAATTGCAACACCTCCATATCCTCTTGGCATATGTGTTGGTGGAAGTGGGTCATTATCATCCACTGATTTTCCAATACCAATTAAATGTTCATTTAGTTCATTCAAAAGGTTAATCTGACAGTTAAACAGCCAATGTTCCTGTATCCGACATACATCAAAATGTTTAATAGCCTCATCAAAGAATGGTCCACATGTTAAAGCATTTTTGCAGTTGAAAGTTAAAACTTTGACAACATTATGAACAAGATCATCATCATTATTTACACTATGTACAAGATCATTGTTAGTATTTTGTGCACTATTGGTTACATCAGTTAGTTGATTCGGTTGTGTTGGCTCACTCTGGATAAAAAATGGTTATTGGAAGGTGCTGTATAAAATATAGGTTGACCAGTTTTAGAAAAGTACTGTGTATTGGTAGGAGTTTGGATTGGTTGATTATATTGATGTCCGTCATGTTGCGGCTGGTGTGTCCTTGGAGTAGTTCCTATTTGTGATGGTCTAGTACTTTGCTTTACATTTCTATGCGGCGTTTGCTGTGGAGTGGCATACCATTGGGTTGGGTTGTGGGTCATACCATTTATATCATTTGCGGTAAGCTGATTTTGTAGTCAACTTGCATTGTCATTGTTCATGCAGACGCCTTGACTCATAGATGACGAATTGATACCATGGTTGGAATTACCTGGCATAGAGTCAGAATTTAATACAGGAGAATACTGAGTTTGTTCGGACTGTCCAAGTAGTTTGTATAGCTCAATATCTATCTTTGAAAGAAAAAAAAACGTGCACGTACACCAGTTATCAATTCATCTGTTGAACCATTAGAAGAGTTGGTATGTGTTGAAGATGTTTGTTCTGCCGCAGGATGTATCGGCTGTTCTTCTAGCAATGAGATTCTATGATTCAGTGTCTTAACCGTCTGCTCAAGCTCCAAGTTTCTATTTTCAGCTTTGAAAATTCGCTCAAGTACTTTTTCTTTTTCTTTTGAGTCGTCATTTGGCATTACCTCCTTAATTTTGAGTTGTTCCTCCTTCTTTTTTAACTTTTGTTCAAGTTGACGTAATTCTTTAAGTTTAATAGATGTTTCTTGTTGAGCATGTAGATTTCTCAATTGTTAATACATTTAAACAAGCTGGACAGTTCTCCATATTTTCATCCAAAAGTATTTGTTGAGCAAGTGTAGGTTGGGAACTATTTGATGAAAGAGAGTATATACAGTGTCAGTGGTTGTAATTTCTGCATTATCAAAAGTTTAAAGTGTTACATATATAAAGTGGTTGGATTCCTTTATGTAGGCTATTACGACACATTGTGCATTCATATGTAGAATTATCCTGCCTTTCAAGTTGTTTATATCAGTTTCAGAGAGCCTCTCACATTTAAAGTGTACACAATGTTTGTTCTTGAAGTAAACAGCTCTAGTTCTACAACTCCTTTTACACTTCTGGCATTTCTCTACCTTGTTTGTGTTGTTATGCTCATTTACATGGTGATGTTTACTTGAGTCAGAGCTTTTGAAGAATACAGTCTAGTTTTTGGACTAGAGTTTTATTAGTTTCTCGTATATCTATATTTTCTCCATTTACTGTTGTTTTGACTGATAATTTCATGTAACTTTGTTAGGTCTCTGTTTATAAAGTTGGTTCAATGTTTGCCATTTACTAGTATAGAACATTTTGTCAGATAAAGGTTAATTGTGTTACTATCAGTTTCATTCTCTCTAATTTTATATGTTCTTTGAACAGTGTTACCAGATTTATCTACAGACACATCTTTTCTAACATCATGAAAGCTGTTGGCAGATTGAATATATAATATTTCACATGCTAGGGAGAAAAGCTCAAATGTTATAGTATCTAACACAGCAGTAAATCCTCCACCTGTGCAGTTGTATGAAATATGATTCCTTTTTGCAGAGTTTTATTTTTTCAGCAGAGATTTTTCAATATTTAGACTATACGGTTTTGTAAATGTGATTCCAATTTTTTATATTAATAGCCATTTCCAGAGGTTTGAGATCAAGCAATAGAGCTAACACGTCGTGGATAATCCCACCGTTGGATTGTTTTATCACTTAAATTCAAAGAGTGCTTTTATAAAGATTAAAGACAGGTAGGTTTTAAGCAGAAAATGATGCAGAGGTCTGATACAGTGAGTACGTCGTGGATGCTCCCACCGTTGACTATGTACCTAGCCCCAACAGTCCTGAATATGCACAGCTTTCTTTTTCAACCAGACTCTTCCAATCTTATGTAAGAGTGAATCCCGTCCAAGTATAAATTAAATGAATAGCTATCTCGTAATGTTATTTTCTTTGATTTAGAAGTTTTAGCATAGTGATGATGACTAATGTCGACTGCGAAATTCGGGGAGAAAGTATTTATTGATTCGTTGATTTGCCTGATTTGACTGTTGATATCATGAATTTTGGCTAATAAATCCTCCTCCTGTTGTTTGAAAATTGAGGGGTCACTGTGCCCTCTACTTTTATTAAAGTCGATAATTGAATATGGAGGTATTTCAAAGATTGTTATTTTGCAAGCAGGATATGTCTATATGAGGTTTATAAAATTTTGTGCAGCATCGATCAGTATCTTTGGTTTATCTTTATCATCTAAGAGACTTATATATTTTCCGTCGTAATCAGTGAGGTCGCAAGTACCAAGCCAGATGTATAGGTGAATATTGTCTAAATGACCAGTAAGTCTATCTATATTGTTGAGTAACCAATTATATCCTTGGCTTGATGTTTGGCCAGATTTAAAACGCCATTTAATTTGTTTTTCAATATATGATGAAGAATATCCCTTTAAGTATTTGGCTTTGCTATCAGTGAGGATTACATGCGTTAAAGTTTGTATACCGAGTACCCGAGTACTGGAGGTAATGGTTTTCTCAAATATTTCCGTAATTTATTTTCAGACATTGATTTTTTCCAACCAAAAAGCAGCTTGTATAATTACGCAATAATATACACAGACTCAAGATATATATATTTAAAATATATACTTAATCAGAAAGTTCAATATATATATATATATATATATATATATATATATAAGGCAAGATATATATTAAAAGTTTCACATTGGTTTAAAACAGCAGGCTAGATGTTAGAATTTGAACTCTTATCCTTAAAATTATTCAAGTTTTGAATGACTATGCATAAAAAGTTCATAAAATGACTATTAGCGCTCCACCATTCATAAATGTCTAATGATTTGTGCTATATACATGTACGCATATATCTTAAATGCCATCATACACTTAAAAGTCTATTGTTGTCAATATATACATAAAATCAGCAGTTCATAAAACAGTACAGCACAATGCACATAAAATGACTAGTTATATCGCACCTTGGCACCAGCCAGTCCCCTGGGAAATCAAATGCCCATTTTACGTACTAGAAATATATTTTAGATATGGAGTATAATTTGAACAGATTATAGTTTAATGTTTGTCACTGGAAATTTTGCTATTACAGTAGAATTATTATGATTAAACGAAATAAAACAAATAAAAAGACAGTGTGTGAATTTTAGGTGTCCGTCATGTTGAATGGCTGGTGAGTAGCGTGGTCCAGGATACCAAACAAAAGTTTGTGTTTCCTAATAAAAGGCTAGGTTGCTTGAAAATTTTGCAGTATTGTGTGACACATCAAATGTTAATGTTAATGATATTGGATTTGAAACAGCTGTCTCCACTGGATAAATCAGGTAAGTATTCGTCAAATTCTTCTCTCACTGAAAAAATCCGCCACCATTCACCATAACCTCGTTATACCCGGAAATGACAAAAGAGAAGAACCGAGAAAACAGTCTGCTTAAGACGACCACACCGTCAAGTTGTTCAAATACGGTCTTATTAGAATTGATATGATCTAACCAAATTATACCTATATAAAGCATTGATTGCTGTCTGAAAGACACCATCAGAAAGAAAACATGAGCCACACAACCAACTGCATCGACCAAGTGAAAGTAATTCAGAACAATTATTTTTTCACGTTCACGATTTCATTGATTAACCTTCATCTATAATAGTACAAGTAACGATGACAAGTTTGATGACAGACTTTTTATTTTTTTTTCTAAAAATGCTTACTTATATAATAAGTCTTAAATATTATCATGATCGAACAACACTAAAGAAAGTTCCAACAACGTGTTAAAAAATGCAGACAATTAAAAGAATAAAAGCAAAAACAAACAAGAACAAAACATTCAAATTGACATTTTCTTAACATGGTCAGGGAAGAGCATTTTATTTGTTCTCAGAAATTCTTTGTATGTTAAATGATCGGTCACTGTCCCACTTTTTCGTTTGATCTCCATATAAGCATATCTTGGATCTTTCATAGCTATTTCCTTTTTCTTCACTTTTTCAATCCCTAATAGGTCTCGGATTGCTTCTGTTATTTTCTAAATTGCAAAATATAAAAAAAAAAAACACTTAATTAGTTAAAAATAGTACTAAATGTATGTCTCTTGAGCATTTAGTTGTGAAAATATACAACGATCTATGTGGGCAAAGTCAAGGTCTAACAAACATAATATCATAATGTTTGGAAGTTTAGAAAAAGACCCCAATGTGTATCCATGAACCATACAAATACGGTCAATATCAAGTGACATGCATAATTATTCGGATGAACGAAAAGAGTTGAATTATCATTTATAGTTTCCGAAAAACTAATGTAGTCACAAAAACGTAGTTATGTAATAATAAGACCAAGGACAGGTAACCCATGGAAAGCGATCAAGTGCACCGTATAATTGTTATATAGACCACTAAGGCACTTACAGCTGACTTACTAGTATGACCTTAAGTATTAAAGGGGCATTAGCTACGAAATATAAAAAAAAAAAAAATATAAAAGTGAATGAGAAATAATAATTCGCTTTTAGCAGCCAGTTTGGTTCAATTTTGTCAAATTCAGATAAGAAACATCGCTGATGAATTATTCACTTGCAAGAGAATGATTCGACCTCATTGATGTGACCTTCTATTTAACCCTTCGCTAGAGATCGGTTACGCATGAACTAGGCGTGTTCAGCTATTAAAAGGAAAAGAATGTCATCATTGAAAGTGAAACAAGGATAAACCATTTGGTTGACTGATTCAAACCACAAAAACTCATTCTTATACAGGTAAAAACGATGATTAACATATTTGTTTAACCTATAATATGAAATCAAACAGACCTGGGAAAATCCAATTGCACGTGTTCGCTATCCATTCATATCTATATTTATGTTCATATGACTGTCGGCAGTCTTCGGCAGGAACCTCGATGGTTAATTAGATGGCGTCTAAACTTAAATACACACGAAATGCGGATACATATTATCGAGTCCATACATTGTTATTTGATCATTTTAGACTTTTTGTAAGTTGGATATACGTTTTAGTAGGTTATAAATCAAATATGATAATTTGAGTCAAATCGGTGAATATGAATTTGACAGCTTATGCCCCTTTAAAGAAACCAATCCAATAACATAAGCTTCATTTAAATCAATGAACTATGAAACCCATTTTAAGATGACCCTATCACTATCAGATTGACATCTACACACCGCAACGGTTGAACAAATAAAAAAGTAAACTAAGTAAATATTTACTAAATATTAAGAAAAGAAAAACTATAGAAAATACACAGTTAAGTGTCAGACTGGTGGAAGATACTCCTTAAAGGGATTTATGGAACGCCACAGCTGTCTTATGTGAAACTCTGATATTACTTTATGTTGTTTTATTATTACTTGATGATATTTTGTCTTTACTTAATATGGTTTTGACATTACGTAATGATGTTTTGATATAACTCAATATGGAATAGTCATAACTTAATGATATTTCGATATTACACGATATGGTTTCGTATTGACTTGATATAGTTTTGTCATTACTCAATATGGTTTTGTCATTACTCGACGTGGATTCACCATTATTAAATGTGGTTGTGTCATTAGTCAATGTGGTTTTAACATTACTTGATGTGAATGTGACTTAACGTTATGTAGTTGTTTCATTACATGATGTGGTTTTGTTATTTTGTAATGATGATTTGCCTATTCTTTATATGGTTTTAACATTACGTAATGATGTTTCAAAATTTGACGATTTTACACTACATGATGTGTTTGTTTCATTATTTGATGTGGTCCTGTCATTCTTTGATGTGGTTATCCCATTACTTGATGAGGTAAAATCACGTGACCAATTCGGAAAAACCTGTTCTATTTTTAGATAGATTTCCATGTTGTATGTGCCTTGGATGAGTGTGGCCATCCATCGAATTAGAGTTCAAATTAAAGTTCGGGTTACTGTTTGAGTTAAACTTTGAGTTAGTCTTCGATTTCGAATTCAAGTCATTATTAGAATTAAAGTTTTAGTTAGCATTGAGTCTCGAGTTGGACTTCGAGTTTGAGTCACATTTAACTGAGGTAGAGTTCTAGTTACAACATTAAATTTGAGTCACTTTTTGAGGTAGAGTTTGAGTAAGATTCGAATTTAAGTCTCATTTAGATTAATTAAGATTTTGAGTTGAAATTCGAGCTATCTTATAGGAGTTCGTAATTAAATTTTCTATCGCGGAACAAGGACTTTTGCTCGGGCTTCCGAAAAGAGGGCTCCGGGGTATGCGTACAAAAGATAAACACTGTTACAGTATACAAAACGCAACATAGAAGTTGAAATAAAGTTAGATGTGGTGTGATTGACAATGAGACAACTATCCATCAGAGTTTAAATGCAGTGGATGTAAGAAATCATATATAGGCAACCGTACCGTACAGCCTTCAACACACCGTATAGTCAGCTACAAAAGGCCACCATGCAACATGTGAAAAAATTCAAACGAAAAAACAAACGGTCTTATTTATAAATAAACAATCTACAAAAATAAAATGACACACATTTATACAACGACAACAATTGAACTTCATGCTCCTGACTTGGGGCAGGTACATCTAAAGAAATTGCACGTGGCGGTGTTTAACATGTATGTGAGCGCTAAATCCTAACCTTACATCGGACTGTTACAGTTGTGTAACAGCACAACACGAGAAAAAAAATGTAAACTAGACAAAGTGATGCCTCCACACTCATTTAACCGCTTATACCCCAAAAATGACAAAAAAAAAGTTCAATTATCTCCCAAAAGATAATAAAAATAAAAACCCTGACCACATGCACACCTTCAATATATGTACAAACAGACAGTAAAGAGAAAAAACTTCCTAGGATTCAAACTGTAGGAGGAGTAATGCGGAATAACTATATACCCATAATGGGACGGACAGACGGACGGACGGACAGGGGTAAAACAATATGCCCCCCCCCCCCCCCGCAACTTTCAGTTGCGGTGGCATACAGAACAGTTTCATTTGGCTGTTTAAATAGATCGGTATGACTGGGTAATATAAATCCATCGGGGTGATCTCGGATGCTCCAGAAAGGCACCCGTCGTGTTTTTCGAGAAAGTACAAACCCAGTGATTTGGTTTTATTTGGTAGTTTACATTCAAGGAAAAGATGACGGTTTTATGGTTACGACCACTGGAACATGTCCGTTGTCACATATGAAACAGATATTCCAAAAAGTTTATTTTTCAATTAGTGCGAGGTAGATCAGGGAACTCATTTGATTACAAATAAAAGATTGATATTCGTATAAGTTCAAATGATCATTTACGCTAAAAAAAAATCGGAGAATTCTTATTTTATAGTATTGATGTTTTGTCGCTTAGTCCGAGCCCCCCTCCCCTCCTTTCCCTGTAACTTTAGTGTGAGTTGATTTGAAGTGTTTCATTTGTTAACAATAAAGTTCAAGTCTTTTGATTTGTGTCGAGCCTGCGACATCAATGTAGCGGCAGTGAGACACAACAAACCTATATTTCGTCGTCGATAGTGGCGTCGGCGTCTCTATCTCCATTTTTTTATTTCTATTGAGTTTAACCTTTCATTATACATGTTACTAAACATGTATGCCATGTATATTACTTTTAGAATATCATACTGGATTTGTTTACCTCGACTATTGTATCTGTATTTATATTGTATGTTTCTCTGTAAACTTGTATTTAGTTTTTAGAGAATAAAGTATCTATCTATCTATCTATAGATCGTTAGGTTTCTAGTTTTTTACATTTTTCATTTCGGTACCTTTTATAGCTTACTATAGGGTATGGGTTTTGCTCATTGTTGAAAACCATACAGTTTTTGTTTTAGTTAAATAAAACCGAATTAAACTGTTTTGACATGATAAATTTGTAAACCTCCATGAAGTGTTTCAAAACTTGTATAGGAGTTATTCTTCAATTATATCAGGCGAGACACAGGGTTCCGTGGAATATTTTTCAAATTTATTACAAAAATACTGCTTCCGTTTGAGAACTTAGAATAAAAACAACAGGACTAAGTGGTTTGGGAATATCCCAATTATGTCCGAAATACTGTAAATCTTTTAATACTTTTTTTCTTATTATTGTCTGCCGTTCCCCTTTTTCATACCAAATAACTCTGAACAACCACTCGAACTTTAATTTGAACTTTAACTCAATGGATAGCGATACCCATCCAAAGCACATTAAACAAACGATATATTGAAATCTGTTTAAAAATAGAATATATTTTTTTCCGAATTGGTCACGTGGTTTTACCTCATCAAGTAATGGGGTAACCACATCAAAGAATGACGGGGCCACATCAAATAATGAAACAAACACATCATGTAGTGTAAAATCGTCAAATTTTGAAACATCATTGCGTAATGTTAAAACCATATAAAGAATAGGCAAATCATCATTACGAAATAACAAAACCACATCATGTAATGAAACAACTACATAACGTTAAGTCACATTCACATCAAGTAATGTTAAAACCACATTGACTAATGACACAACCACATTAAATAATGGTGAAACCACATCGAGTAATGACAAAACCATATTGAGTAATGACAAAACTATATCAAGTCAATACGAAACCATATCGTGTAATATCGAAATATCATTAAGTAATGACTATTCCATATTGAGTTATATCAAAACATCCTTACGTAATGTCAAAACCATATTAAGTAAAGACAAAATATCATCAAGTAATAATAAAACAACATAAAGTAATATCAGAGTTTCACATAAGACAGCTGTGGCGTTCCATAGGGATTTTTCAAACCAAATGTGGTTGAGGTTAGGGAAGTCCTTTGAGATGGGGATAACAGTAAAGATATGGTACTATAATTTCAAGTGCGCATGGTGTAGGCAATCTTGTATGCTGGAAATGAATGTGTTTCTTTGAAAGGTACCAGTTTTAGAGAAAATTATCATTTTTGATACTATATCTGTAATCTTTAAAACGACTGCCATGTTAGAAGTAGAGAATCATCAAATGTAAATATTTTTCTAAGACGATTTTAACCAAAATCAAATCAATCAATTCATAGGCATGATTGTTACCATGCTAATATTGCAATTTGTTTAATGTATCGGAGAAGAGAAAATTAAATTACCTTGATATGTTCATAGTCGTTGATCCCCATGTTCGGAAGTGCAGAACCATCAATTGCAATAAGTTTTCTTCCATTTATAAAATTTTGGCGGAAGCATACCTGAAAAATAGTTATATAACTGTTATATATAAGATATATCCAAAGATCTTAATCACAAAAACAAACCGACGTCTTTTTTAATTTGCTATAGGAAGCTGGACTTTTCATCTCCAGCGCTGGACTTTACGTTTCCAGCGCTTGACTTTAACAATCACAATATATGAGACTAACTACAGGGCGCCGAACGGGACTTTTGTGGTTTTGTACTCGAAATTCAATTTTGTACGGACAAAAGTGATTTTTTTTCAACAAAAATGAATTCAGTTTAACAAAATGTGAAGAATACTACTTCAAATTTTGTCATACAAAATTATCTTTCAGTGGACAAAAGTTACTTTTGTCATGACAAAATTCATTTTTGTATCACAAACTTTACTTTTGTTACCTAATTTGCAAATTAGTTTAGTTTGGATTCTGTGAACTAATTTGCATACAAAACTGAGATTTTGTCACAAAATTCAATTTTGTGTTTATTTTTGTGTAGACAAAATTGAGTTTTGTTAAATTTTCATTTCTGTTTTAACAAAACTCAATTTTGTCTACACAAAAATAAACACAAAATTGAGTTTTGTATCACAACAAAATTGAATTTTGTCTCACAACAAAATTGAATTTTGTCTCACAAAATACAATTTTGTGTTTTAATTTCCATATCAGGTAACAAAAGTCAATTTTAAGTTTATATTTGCATAAATGAATTTTATCTATAAAAATGAATTTTGTCAACAAAAAAGAATATTGTCATTACAATATTGAAGTTCTCATAAAACAAGTCTGTATCACATAGTTTTGTAAGAAAAAAATGATTTTGTTATGACAGAATTGAATTTTGTGTACACAAAATTGATTGTGATTACAAAAAGTTCAAGTCCCATTCGGCGCCCCGTACTAACAGGGCTCCGTACATTTCACTCTATAATAAGTTGCTGTAATTCATATAATATTGCTAATCTTGTATCCCTTTGTCTATATATCAACCTGCTCAGTGGCTCCGTGATTTTCGTATCACGGCTTTGTGTTCCCCAGTCAAGATCATGGCTTATAGTTACACCTAAATATTTACTGTCTTTAACAGATTCCAAAACATGATTATGCAATGTATACTAGTAATCAAAAGCGGAAGGGTTAATTTTTTTTAGATGTATGTAATCATAAATTTACATTACTCAAATTCAACCCTGAGTTTTTCCTATCTTTACTTACACTGTATTGAGGAAATCCTAATTCTTCTATCCATTGCGCAACTTCTTCAATATTCCAATATAAACTTGAAGGAACACTGTTTGTTCGAAGGTCGCATTCCACTGCACGGCTATTTCTCCTTTGCATTTTCACTAAATACTATGCAACGTCGTCTCTAAGTTCTTTTATGACGTCAAAACAGGGACGTTTTACAAGTATGAGTGTTGACGTATTTGCTTGATATCGATATAGATGAAACATTTTCATCGTTATTTTAATATATACTCTAAAAAAAAAGGCATAAGACTTCTAACTCATAAGTCGAATAAATAAACTCATCCTAGATACAGAGAGACCGACAAAACCATGACCAAAGACATAACAGAGAGACCGACAAAACCATGACCAAAGACAAACAAAAACTACAAAACACTGCATATAAAACTAAAAACAAACCAACACGAACACTAGCTTCGGAAGCTTATCTCTTATGGTCTTACCGCAAATTGCCAAAGAATAGCACAAGGACCACAACAGTTACGGTTCGCAGCTACACGGACCCATACAAACTGGGGTGATCTCACTTGATCCGGAAGGGCAAGCAGATAATTTGCCACATGTGGAACTGAGTCATAATGTTATTTAAACACACTAATTAAAAAAAAAATAAAAATAAAAATATCTTTATTAAACAAAAGATATATCCAAGTAAATGGCATGAATTAAGGTGGTATACAACAAATAGCTGTAATGAAATATATTGATATTGTGTGAACATGTTTACAAGTTACAAAGATAGATCATTTTTGTCACAGTGAGTCTGATAATATCATGAAAAAAATCACTATACATTCCTCTTTAATAGAGTGCTACCTTTTATTTTTAGAAACATACATTATTATGATCGCTCTGAGAAAAAATCTATTCACTAGTGTACCGACTGAGGATCCACTAAACTATACTAACTGTTTTTGAAGTATAATCTAGGCATTGTTAGTTGAGGTAGGGTTTCCTCCCCTAAATCACGGTGAGACTGTATGATGTATGAATTAACGTTATATGTAAAAGCCAATTTTTATTCTATCCATCTTGTATGGGAAAGGATTTATATAGGCACCAAGATTACAAATTTCATTTTTAAACCATGATTATCGTACTAGTAATCGAGATACGAATAAGGCAGTAACCCAATGACACAAATAACCAAAAAAAAAAAGACATCTACTAAGAGGTCAACATACAATCTTCAATTACAGACATATGTCTGTACAATGTGCCAAGCTCTAAATAGTTCTGAGCCTAAACAAATTGTGAACGAATTAAACCGAAAGTATCAAATCTGCCATCAAATGATAAATCAATAATTGAATCGTTTGGGTTGCTGTCTCATTGACCTTAAATACCTCACATCTACCTTTGTTTATTTTAATACTCTTTTATTGAAAGAGTACTCGAAAATTCATGAGTTGATTGACCGATAAATGGAATATCTGTTTAATAGATGCACAGCGGGTGCCATATGTGGATCAAGATCTACTTACCTTTACGGGACACCTGAGACCACCCCTTTCTTGGCGGGGTTCATGTTGCACAGTTCTTTTCTATGTTGAGTTTTATATACTGTTGTTTGTCTTTTGATCATTTTTCGTTTTTTGCCATGGCGTTGTCAGTTTATTTTCGACTTATGAGTTTTAATGTCTATTTGGTATCTTTCGCCTCCCTTTTATTGCAAAATCTCCCCACTTAAAAAAAATAAGATGTCAAATGATTGCCAATGAGAAAACTATCCACAAGAGATAATGAATTTTATGTAAATATAAAAGGTCATTAAAAGCCTTCATCGATTAGCAAAAACCCTTTACATTTAAAAATATAAAACAATCCAAACGAGAAACTCTTAAAACAATAAACAAAAACAAAAAAATATGACAGGCTGCAAACAATGACCACCAATGAATTACAGGCCACTGAATTGTGATAGGCACATTCATAATGTGGCAGAGTTAAACATGTTTGTGAGCGCTCAACTCTCCAATAATTATAAGAACAAACTGTGAAAGTCAGTTGGAATGGGTTCGACTCAACAGATCGGAACGGAGCATAAAACAACTTACAAAAAGACACCAAGTACTCGCAGATAGTTCAAAGCTAATTACAATTAAGGAATAAATCATCTTTACCCAGACTAAAGTACTATTCATTACACCTCCAATTAGGCCGATCCAGAGTGAAAAGTGAGATTCAGTGTTATATCTACAATAGCTTAGAAAGCTAAAGGTTTATTTGGATGGCATATTAGTACTTAAAACACTAAATCCCTGGGATGTGTTTTAGTTGATTTTATTCTCTGATGCATGATTTTGTATTATTAATTGTTTTTGGCTTTTATCTAGCTTTCAGTAACTGCGAGTACTCCCAAATCGTACTTTCGTGTTAATTTGACCTGTTGATACAATTTGTAATGTATTTTTGTTATTTAATGTTTACTTATTCCGTGTTATATCTAGTCTCACTATTTTTAATATATACCACCTTTGATAAGTGTTTAGTATGACGATAAATTTTCACTTTTGTTCTCGTACTAGGAACAACAAAATTATTTATTTTGCAAAAATTATTTCCGTACTCCATGTATACCTTACAACAAAATTATTTTTATTTACCTGTGTACGTTATTTTATTTGGCTGCATTTTGTCCAAGGTTTTGGTTGTCTTTCTGATATTGTTAAACATCTAACTCCCTTGTTTTATTAATTTTGTATTTACATTGTGTCATAGATCAAATGTATTCGTTCAGTGTATGTTCACTTGTTTTTGTTAATATGTCTTTAGATTGAGTTAAGCCATTTCAATTGATATTTTATAGTGTGTCTTTCTATGTTGTGATGTTACACTATTGTTTCAGGTAGGGTGAAGGTTGGCGCCTATCAAAACGTTTAAACCCGCTGCATTTGTATGCACCTGTCCTAAGTCAGGAACCTGATGTTCAGTGGTTGCCGTTTGTTGATGTGGTTCATAAGTGTTTCTCGTTTCTCGTTTTTTATATAGATTAGACTGTTGGTTTTCCTGTTTGAATGGTTTAACACTAGTCATTTTTGGGGTCCTTTATAGCTTGCTGTTCGGTGTAAGCCAAGGCTCCGTGTTGAAGTCCGTACTTTGACCTATAATGGTTTACTTTTACTAATTGTGACTTGGATGGAGAGTTGTCTCATTGGCACTCATACCACATCTTCTTATATCTATTAGATCGTAGTTATTGCGTGAGTAACTATTGGCTCATGCAGGAGCCTAACATTCTCACCTTTGAAATTTATTCAACACTGAAATCATTAAACAATTACCACTCATTGGCACGTCGGTTAAGCTATTTAGGGTGTATTTTGCAACTTGGATTGTAAAATAGCCGAACACAATCGGTCTTTATCTTTAATAAAATCTAAATTTGGAGATAGGAATGGGATTCATTTGTAATACTTTTTAATGGAGAAAACTATGTTTTATCTTATTATTATGACAGTCACTGTTTTTTTTTAATACAGAACATTTTGCCAAACAAAGGTGAAACAACTCAGATAACCTTACTTTTACTACCTATAACAGGTTTGATTAATTACACCACTTTAAAGAAAATATATGTTTGTATATTTTAGTATGTTGTTCATAGATAGTGACCAGAGAAAAACTTTGTGTTGCAATTTGTTGCAGGTTGTCCACCCAAACACTAAACATTAAGATTTGACGGGATACACCGCTGATAAGATAATAATTTCACTTTGAATTTCGATCAGTGGCGGAACAAAGGGTACATGAAAAGAACATAATCAAAAAATCTGTACAGGAATGGCAATTAACACATAAAACAAAGGTATAAAAGAAAACGACAGTACACAAGTACCAAAAATAATAATAATCAACATTATCACACATTAGTTACGAAAATATTGGTTTTACATATGCAATAACCGAGGATTTGCCCTAGTCATATTTCTGCCCGAGGCAAATATTGTGCCCTGTAATGACGTCATCGTTCATAACAACAATGACGGACGAGGAACGTCGATTAAAATGACAGCGGAGTTATTTTAATAGAGGACAAAAATATATGATCTAACCGGACGGAGTAATAAAATTCTTTCTACTTTTTTAAGCATTTGTATAATATGTGATAAATAGATTATAACATGTCATTTTCCATATAGCCCTTGGATCATCCTTCGACCCATATGAGCCCTCGGTTGGCGCCTTGGGCTAATGTGGAAGTCTCGGGATGATACCAGGGCCGATATGGAAAAGGACATGTTATAATCTATAATTATTCGGAAGACTCTGAAAAAAATGCTCGCAGTTACTGAAAGCTAGAACAAGTATACCTAACCAGCTGATATAAAATCATGTATTAATCACACTCAAATATCGGTGTTTACAATAATAATTCAGTGGCTGTCGTTCGATGCTGTCTGTCATAAATCATGCCGTCGGTTTTTTAGTTTGAATTGTTTCACATTTTGCCTTTTATATATGTTTATAAGGTATGGCCTGCTTATTGTTATCAACGTCATTTTATCTCACTGGCAATTTTACCACATCTGCTTATTTTTATAATATAGAAATAACCTTTACCTTACATTAGAGTGAGTTAAAGATAAAAGCTTAGGGAACATACATCTTAGTGCTAAAATGAATTTGCTACGGAACTGAATCCCCATAATACGTACAGCGTGTTTGTGATGGAAATATATGAATGTGTATATACTTCCATGTGATGAACATTGAATATAAATTACTTTAAAGATGATATACAGAATCCGTCCGGTCGAAAAAGGGACCACATGATTTAACGGATTTAATTTTATGCCTATCAATTTTACGCCAGAGAACGGTAAGTTTTTGAAATTAGGGAAGCCAAAGATGAATAGATAAGTATAAACACGGGGAGAGGATTTACTATAACTCAAATGAAAAACCAATCGTTTCTTTTGATGTCAAACTTTAGTTGGCAAGCCTAGTGACAAAAACATGGAACAAAGAATGATGAAACTTGGTCAGCTTTAAAAAGGAAGCTTGTTAAGCGATCCTGGCTATTTTCCTGTTTCTAAATTTCGTGCAAATATATTTTACCTCTTTAGACAATGTACGTACAATGTATATGTAC